CCAATATAAAATGATTTGTAAACATTTTTCAAGATTATCTCTGATGCTCCTGGGTATTGAATGACTCTAAATGATGATTTCCAAGTGACTCAGTATAGCTGTTTATCAAGCGTCATATAAGGATCATTATGTGTTGTTCTGAGTCTTTTTACGAAGCTAATATGATTTCGTTGAGTTGTTTATTGACAGAATTAGACGTTACTCTTATAATGTGAACATGTAAGCGCACACAATATGTTATACTAGCACGAACACGCTGACAGTCAGCATATCTAAAACACACTTTATGCTTTCGCAAACATCCTTGTTATCGCAGTGTCATCTATGTGACGATATTCGACACATCTGATCAGCCAAAACATCTTTTAATTTACTGAAACTTTCAAAATTTGCCGAAGAACTTTCATGCATTTTTAAGATATCACTGTTCAACTTATTTCTTGTGTTTTAATGAGCGGTTTACTCTAAACATCTGTTATTTGTAGCATCAGTGAGAACAACCATAGTGTCTGAAGACTATAGTTGATGGCTGGAATCATTCTTCAAATTTTTATGGAATAGTTGCATACATATGCTTGCGAATAGGCAATTAGAAGAAAAATATACTGTGAGATGAAACCATTTCCTAGTTTCTTTACAACTAGCATGGTTCGCAATGAGATAGGCCTAAGTATTTGACAGTTAATCAGTTATGTAAAATAAAAGTACATACTAATAACCAGTCATGGTCAAGTAGTACACAATAGGCAAAGGCTGAAGTCTGTTATTTTCTGTACACATAATAGATAGCATGCATAGGAATAATATTCCCAAAGTTCTTTCATCACTTCTAATAACTTTGTATTACGATTATGTGAAAGAACTGAGAAACAGTCATTAATATTGATTTTGTGACCAGATATTGATAAATGTTTCGCAATGGATGATGATGGATTTCTATTTACATTAAGTGCATCTGCATTTTCAGTGTGACTTAATAACCATTTAGGAACACGTTCTTTCCAGTGACGTTGCAGAATTTGACTGGTTCTACTTATACATGAGTACCCGTAACTGCATGAAAGCTTGTAGATACAGTGTGAAGTAGAGTCCATAGAATATTGTCTTTAAAACGTGGGTAAAGGAATCGAAAATTTAGAAATAAGGAGAAGAGATGCGGCGTAGAATGTGCACTTGACAGCTGACCGAATCATTTTGTCTTTTAGTTACATTAATTAGGGGTGATGGAAGCACTTTTGAGAATTAATCACATGCAACCAAAACTTTGTATGTACAGAAAACAACTGACTTCAAGCTTTGCTTGCCATGGACTAACTGATCTACTTAAATGTGATTGTCTATTATTATATTATCATTACTGTTCCCCTGGGTTTCCAGTGGAATATAGGTCTTCAACAACACATTTCCACTTTGTTCTGTTCTCTACTGTCCGCTTCAGCTGGGTCCACTATCGCCAATAATTTCTCATCTCCTCCTCTAACTAACACTATCTCCTCCATGCCACCCTATCATCAACGACCCACTCGTCGCTTCCCATTTGAATTCCACTAGAGCAGTAATCTGGCGCACTATGTCGTTCGACGGTCTCCTCAGTGTCATGTGCCTGATCCATCTTCATTTTCTCCTACATATTTGATGAGCGATCGGTTCTCGACAGTTTGTTTTTGTTTCCAGCCAGTCAGAGTTTCTTGATGCCTGGCTATTAGATCTACAGAATTGAGCCACCGAAGTGGACAGCTTTTGATAAAACTCTGTAATTTGTTGAAAATCCTTTTCGTGACTCGCCGGCCAAGTTTCTGACCTAAGAATTGACTGACTTGACATTTGTCTTAAAAATCCGAATCTCGTTCTTTATGCAGTGGAGTGCATAACTGATTTTAAAGTGATGAAGGTGTATCTTGCCTTTCCTGTTCTGGCTTGTGGTTCTGACATCTTCATCTGTGCTATCTGACTGCCTGTGGTTGAAACCATACTTTCTGGCCAGATAAGTGAAGGAAGTGACCTCCGTCAAATCTCTCCCGTTGATGGTGATTAGTTCAGGTTTTTGTTGCTGTTGGTTGGTTGGTTGCCTTCATCATCTCCATCTTCTCTATGTTCACCTGCAGTCCTGCCTTTGCTGACAACCTCTTCTTCCAGATGGTTTGTGTGACGTTAAACATAAATCATTTGCGAAGTCCAGATCTTCTAAAGCCTTCTTATCGATGGTCCAAAGTATTCCTGTCTTCTCACTCCCTATGCACAGTCTTCCGCATAACCCAGTCCACCACAATTAAAAATATCATTGTGGGTGATAATAGTCAAACAACCTTGTATTACTTCTGTAGTCAATTCAAACGCCTCGCTGAATTTTCCGTTGAGGATTATTATTCTTAATGCTTCATTTAAATTTATCAGAAGGAGTAACTGTTTTAATATTTCCTTTTATTATGAAAATGTCTAATGGCAGAGAATCATGTGATAAGCACTTGATTATAACTCAGTGAATACAATATATATCCATTAAACTGATATACCGCAATCGTTTTTACTATCATCCAGAATAAGTGGGTGAGTGGGAAATTCACTGACTTCATGGTAGACTGCGTTGTCAATTACCATCAGCTTGAGAATAACCAAAATGTAACGGGACTGTATCTTTAATTTGATCAGATGCTTACAAATAAGCGCTAAAAATGTAACCTATTGATAATTATTGAATGTAGAAAGAAGGATGAACTAACTTCTTAAAGTTCCAAAAGGAAACTTTGATAGATGAAGTGCGTTATTTTTAAGGGTAAGCTTTATGTATCACAGTCAGCAGAAGTTAGATTTCATGAACATATGGTTCCCAGTCTTGTCACTCAGTGGTAATGGATCCACGTCGTAACCTGGCTAGACGATAAGTGTATAATGCCAGACTATCGAGCTAGGTCTAAACAGTTGCACAGTTCTACCTGATTGATAAGGATTGTTTACAAGATGCTGGTGTGTAAATAAATCTTTCCTGATAACTTTAATTGTTTATTTTTTATGTGAGTGGAACGGATAGGGTGATAATGAGATAATTACTGGGAGCTTTATGCATTTAAACTGTCTTAAAACTATAAAACGTTTCATGAGACAATCCTTCCACAATTTATATTTCTAAATATCGTTATTAGAAAATGGAGTTTATGTGGAAAATGTGATCTATTTGCACAGTATACACCGAACAGTCTGATCGCACATATACTTATCAAATTAATTTTGTATGAATAATAAAAACCAATTAAAATAGATAAAATGATAGGGGATTTAAAAATAAGGATTCAAATTAACAACTATGTTTTCAATTCTACCACGAATTAATTTCATTTAGAGAGCCACTGAAAACCAACTAGGGGGTACTGGACAGCCGTCTCGTCCTAGTTTGGGAATCATCATCAGTACGCACCCATTGCCAGTATTTGAACCCAGCACTTTTTGTTTACAAGACAAGCTCGTAGGTCATTCAAACACCAGGACCCAACTCAGTGCCTAGCCCATGAATCCCAATTTCTACCAACTAGTGATTTGAGCGTGACCACTAACCATTGTCATCTCTGACAAGTATTTGTTTTCACTCCCAATTGGATGGACCCCACTGGTCATGACTTCTCACTAGAACTCCGGGAAACTCTCTCCTGTACCCAGTCACTGGTGAGCATCAGATTAATTTTCAAGAGTTTACTAGTGGTGATTTGATTTGTTATTTAAGTTTGATCACAGATTGATGTCAGTTCTAGAACCACTGAAAACCAACTGGGGAATACTGGACAGCTATTTTCGTGGTCAAACTTGAAAAATCAATCAAATCCCTTAAAATCAACTCTTGAAAACTACTATTGGTGATATAATCAGATAAGGATTACCAAAGTAGGTTAAAGGTGACAATAAATTGTCTTTATGCATACAGAGAGAGGGGCTTAATTTCATGTATCAATAATGTCTTGTATCTCACTGAGAACCCTAGGGAATGATCATATATCATATTATCTTCTCAGATTATTTGAGTAGGCGATAGATATCCATAAGATTAAGCACCTCTCTGCTCCCTCCATCTTCTGATGCGCTTCACCTACCTTACTAATCCATATCTGATTATATTATCTGTCATACTCTTAAGTGTCTTATTATTTTTTCAAATTTCTACTGACCTCTTTTTTCACTTTTCCTGTAAACTAATCTGACAAGCAAATAAGTGTGTGATCAGATTGTTCGAAATATATTACTCAATTATATTACATTTCTTAGATAAACTGCATCTCTTAATGAAATGCCACTCAGATTTATTAAAGTGACTAAATTTTTGAAATTCTGAATATCAAAAGTGAAGTAAACCTGTAAAAGGTTTGGTCACGAGGTTATATCAGTAAGGAAAGCATTGGAAGGACTAAGATTACTGGATACCTGTTTCGTCCTAGTTTGCAACTCTTCATCAAGACACTAACATCTTCTGGTTGAAATCCATAACCTTCAGGCGACAAGATGATTGCTTGGACGACTCACCCACTGAGACTTGATCCATTAGCCTGTGAATTCCAACTCCTGTCGATTCACGATATTTAAGGCAATCACTAGCTGAGGTGATAGGTGAGTAACTATTCTCCTGCTTCACTTGGTAGGTTCCGGTGGTTACGACTTCTCACCTAGAACTTCAAGTAACATCCGGCATAGAGCTAGTATCTAGTGGCCGTCAGACTAATTATCAACTGCTGGCTTGCAGGGGTTTGATTTGTTACAGGTTCGGTCCAGTACTCCCCGGTTTTCTAGGGGTTCCCTAACCGATGTTAGCTCATGATTAAATCCTGTAACCAATCAAATCCCTGCAAACCAATACTTGCTAAGAAAACTACTAATCATTTCATAGTTTTTCTTCAAGAGAACAAGTGATATGAGCTTACTGCTCATTTATATTATTACTTACTGATAAGGTACACTAAGTAGACATTAGTTAAGATTATTTTTAACAAATACATGAAAATTCCAAAAAAAAAACTTACAATTTATTTGCATCTGTAGCTGCAGATAGTTTTATTTCATGTCTATCCGATTTAGTTGATGACTGTTTTATTTTCGATAAATAATTTTTATACTTCAACGCCAATGTTTTACTATGCAAATTTCTGCTGTCTAATCGACGTGAACTGTTTGCATACAACCTGTGATTTGGAATTTTGTCTAATAAACTGTCTAAATGACTTGAATCATCTATACTGTCGAATGGATCTAACATTTCATCTAAATGACTACAACTGAACGATGATTCTGAGGCTTTGTACATGTTGATATTCTTAATAGTCATTTCATTACTGAACATCATCATCATCCAAGGTGTTGGCGGTGGATAATTACAATTCTGTGGTGTATTAGATCGTTTCACCTTCTTCTTCTCTTCACTTTTTTGGTAGATAAATTTCGATGGCAGATGGTGATTTGTAAGCACTGCCTTTGTGTCATATTTTACAGGAGTCGGAAGAGACTTTAAATGCAAATTATTCTTAGCGATTGTAGTAGACAGAGGGTAGGGCTTTTGTAGATTATCTTCACAATCAAAATCATGTGATAAAGAAGTTTTAGGAAGTTTACAAAATTTTTGACATAAATTCATACATTTAATAAATTTTGCTGATGATGTGAAATATCCACAGCGTAAATGTCTAGTGTACTGTTCAGTATGATTGACAGTCGAAGTTTTATGATGTAGGATAATTAGTATTAAACAGAACATGGATAAGCCAAATACGGTTATCACTAGTAAGATAATTTCCACTTGCATGATGTATCACATAAAGGAGTACTGTATAAATTTGATAATTCCTTAAAACAGGGTCTGTTCTATCATGCTTCAGATAGTATCATCGTATCATCCGTCGTGATTTCTCCTACAGTCAATGCCACTTATCTCTATAAGCTGACATGCTAATTCTGATTGGTCAAGGGGCAGGAACCAATCACGAACTAGACAACAAAATGTTTGTTATCATCTATTCAGGATATTTACTATTAGGGATAAATCCATCCAATAAAACCCACGTCGTATTTGTTTACGAATACAGTATATGTACATAAAAACCGGATGCTTAAATAATTAATAGACGTATCAAAATTTTCGAATTATGGTTTTTCAAGTCATAAAAATTAGTGAACAAAAATATCTTGGACCGCTTAGAAACTACTAAAGCTAAAGAAACAGAGAAGTATATTCCTTTACAGTTAGTTCCTTATCATTGGCCCTTCACTAGTGTGTATATTTGATAATTTTAAGCAGCGTTTGAGAAGGGTCTTCAAAAAGACTTTTAACGAAGCTAAATTAAGCTGCTTATTCACTAGTCAATCAATACTCATTTCAAGGCAGACTGCCTTGTTTCACTTCTTACATGTGTATTCACCAGTGTAACTGCTCATGTGGAGCTAGTTAAATTGGTTTATCGTCGAATTTATGAACACCTCCAATCGTAGTTTGGTAAATTGTCCCAATAATAGTGAACATTAAGTTGACTCTAGCAAAGCTTTCAAGGTTGTTAATCGTATTTCCTCAAACCACTTGCATGCTCTACGAGCACGACTTTTACATATCGTAGAGGCGGTCGGAATTCATCTGAACAAGCCAAATCTGTGTGATTTTCAAACTATTTTTCTCTCCCCTCGTAACTATCTTTTGACTATGTTATTTTATTATGAATACAATTGTAGCCAATTCAATTAGCTTGTTTGTATCACGGTATTCTTACTCAATTCCAATTAGTCATTCAATACTTCCTTGATGATGTAATAACTTGTGGCTTACACCTACGAGTTAAGTGATCTTGAATCCCGTAATTAATTTGACCTCCTACCTCAGAACTTAGATATCTTGTTGTTGACATCTAATAGTTAATTGTTATAATGACTTAAGACCTTTTAATTTAACCATTACCCTTATACCTAAAACTGATAGAATAAAATAACCATCTAATTGTTATAATTTTGATGTCAGAATCTATGTATTATTGTGGAGCCGATGATGATGAACTGATTAAAAAGAAATACATTTCTTCGTGGCGAGTAATCTGTTCTATTATTCCTTCTTGCTTTCTTCATATCCAGAAGTCAAGCAAGCATATTTGGCTTTTGACTTCTTGCTGCATTCTAAAACTTACTGTTTGAATGAGCCCTTTTAAACTTCTTTAGCAATATTTTGACTTGATGAATTTCACCACATATAGCAAATTTACCATCTAAATTCTTCGAGTAAAATGCAATTGCGGACATCAAGTCATCCTTTTTCTTTGTAACCTTCTTTTTTAAATCGACAGGTATCATCTGGAACTAGATTCACTTTAGAAATTTATTCTTCTCTCTTCTTTAGAACCAGCCTTGAACCCTTATTAGGTCTAAGAATTACAGTGCTTTTTTCTATTTCTTAATTCTGTTAAGGCCAATTTATGTTCTTGAGAGAGGGAAGTGTGGATTGAGCAACCAGAGACACGTGTTACTGGCTACCAGTATCAACCAATCTGGAATTTAACATCATTTTTTATCTTCATCAGTCGGTGACATGGAGGAAAACGTATGAAGAGGAAATGAAAGCTTATGATTAATCGTGGAAGCAGTTAAATAAGTAATAGGGAACAGTGTGAAATGGCAATATGCTATTGAAAACCTATGTTACAGTCGGAATCCAATAGAATAGTATCAGTTAATTATATAAGAATAAAACTTGTGCACTGTGGTAGAGTGTAATTCCATTATAGGTAAATTTTGTTTTTGTTAAGGTCTGACACTGTTATACAGTAATGTTTACTGATAACGTTTCCAGCACAATTTATTGCTCATAATCATATCATATAGTAACAGTATATGATAAAATCCTCTTTAGGACTTTTTATGGAATTAAGTCCTAGTCTTGTGAAAATGAACACATTAAATTATTATGCTGTTTCTATCTGGTAAACGTTGAGTACTGCAAAATGTAAACGAGGAAGAGAGCACCCAGTAACTTTAATTTCACCACACTCTAACTGGCTGATCACTCCTAGGAACAACTATTTGGAGAGAATATTGAATCTGTGTTGTATAGCCTCAGGATACTTCATGAACTGATCACAAGACAATCTAATGTTTACAGCATTCTCTTGGGACAAGAGAAATAAAAAACGAATTCAATGCTTAAGATACATTTCATTTTCATGTGTCTAGCAATTTCCATAATCTCAATTCAAACTAAATAAATTTCTGAATCCAAAGATGACAAAATATAATAAAATAATTGCAATTTTTGCAGATATACTAAAACCGCTGAGTATAATGAACACATTTCAGGATATTTCAGGTGGCTTTCGGGTTCATTGTCTTAAATAGTGTTGTATTGTATTTGTCTAGCTATCTCACTATACATTATTTGTAATTTTAAACCCAAAACTACTGAACACCAAAATTTATCATTTCGGTGTACGCTGTGACATTCATGAAAACATTACGACGAAGCACCCGTAAGCTCTTCTTTTTACGCTGTGGAAAGTGGGATGGAGAGGAAATACTGGGCGACCCCATCTCTTAAGAATAAACCACACCACTACTAAAAATTCAGAGCTGTTTTCCGAAGTTCCCTGTTCCACTCGGAATGCAAATGAATGAAAAACAAGGAATTTGAGGGTGAAAGTGCAACCAGAAATAGAAAATACAATTATAAAAGTAGCCATTGTTCCACGAAAAGTAATTTATTATATTATTATTGTTTTCCTAGAGGGACATAGCGATTCATGAACAGATCTCCACTTCCAGTCCTGTTTATCCGGTCCCAGGATTACCTCTCCTCTATGTCACCTTGGGACAAATCCCGACTCGTTGTTTTCCATTCGGGTTCCACTCAATGGCTTGAAGCGCAATGTCATTTTATAATCTCCGGTGCACCTCCATTTTCTACGGGATATTTGTTGAATGAATGGTTCTTGATTGGTTTCCAGAGTTTATTGTTGTTGATTCCTTCCGAATGGCCATTTGATCTTCAATATGCGGATAGAGAAGCCTTCTCTATCCGCATATTGAAGGCTATTGATAAAAGTCTGCAACCAATTGGAATTGCATTCCGTAGCGCGTTAAGTTTCAGACCAAGATAGAAGGAATGGCTTATCGACGATGTTTAAAATTTGAATTTTTTGTTATACTGAGTACAGATGATTTCCACACTAATTTCAGAGCCATGTAGGTCTGTCCTGCATTTCTGATCCTGAATTTTTTTGTTCCTTCACGTTCTCAGTGGAACATAGGGCTTCAAGCTAGAGGCTTGAAGTTTCTGTAGCAGTGTTCATTTTTACAGGATGCGGTTGCTAGCCTCATACCCAACTTCACTTCTTTACCGCTTTTGTTTCTGGCTTAGTGAGGTGAAGAAGTTCATCGGTCGACGATCGAACCCCGGACCATGTGCATGGTCAGCGAGCGTCCTAACCGCTGTGCCACCGACGCAACGACATATGTTCACGTGGAGTCCTACCTCTGCTACCTGCCTCTTCTGCCAGTTTTTTTGATTTTCGCCTGCAAGTCTTTGAGTTTATATAACATTAGATATGAATCGTTCATGAAGTCCAGGTCTCTTAAAGTTGTCTTATCGTCCGACTTATACCTGTCTTCTCACTCCCTGTGAACAGTATTCCGCATAATCTAGTCCACCTCAATTGGAAATATTGTCGATGATGTTAGGCAGCCTTGTATCGCTCCTGTTTTCATTTCGAACGCCTATGTGAGTTTTCCATTATGGATCACTTGACAAGTTGCCTAGTTTACTAACTCTCTAGTTACCTAGCCAGTCCTAAGTCTAGGAAAACAGCGAGGGTTGGGCATCAGGATACCGGCCATACCTCGATAAAATCAATCCAGTCGCTACAGAAACTTCAAAGCACGAGAAAAAAATTTGAAAACCTAACAGTAATTACCCCCACACATATTTTACAAATCGATTTCAACTCTACATAAATATTACTCTGAGAAGGGGAACATTCAGCTTATAATTTATCCAGTTTCGATTCCCACTCAAAGTATACCAAAACTTCTCGTAGTTCACTAACCAATAGTTAACCTGGAAAGTAGGAAACTTCGAGCTTGAGACGAGTCACTCCACCCCTTAAAAACAACACTAAGGCTACCAAAACCTCAAGACTGATGCCTTATGCTTTACTCAATACGCAGGGAATTAACGCAAATACAGCTTTTATTTTCCCTTACTCTTTGAATTCGAATGAAGTCTATATTCCAATGCTTATCGAATAATAGTCAAACGATGAACTCAAATGTTTTTTGTGACGTGAATAAAAATCCAGACTTTAAATTAAACTTGAGTGAAATTTGAGACAATCAATGCGTCAGAAATGAGAAAAACTTAAACTTTTTTCAAACGAAATGAATTTCAGTCATGAAACATCTTTGATAAATGCATTTCAGTGATGTAATCCACAACTTGGTAAATTGAATCGACACTAAAAATTTATGTTATATTCTCACGTATTTCAATTCGTTTTCAAATCTGTTTCACTACAATAAAATAAATTTCAGCATAGCGTGTATTTCCACAACTTTTGCACACCTCATTAAATTATACGAATGGAATACATTTTTGCCTCATATCTTCAAATATTCCGAATAACAAAAACTAGAAATAAGTGCTAACATTATTATTATTATATCCTTTAATTCCTAGAGGAACATAGGGTTCCAGTCGTGCGTCTCCATTGAGTTCGGTTCTCTGATAGAGTCTTCACCTGGCTCCATGTCTGCCCACACGTTTTCATCTCCTCTTCACATGACCTCCTCCAAGTCACCCATGCACTGATGACCAACTCGCCGCTTCCCTTTCGGTTTCCACTCAAGGGCTTG